AACTGTTTATTCCTTATTCATGTTTTTTTTAAATTTTTTTTTTTTTTTTTTTTTTTTTTTTTTTTTTTTACTTTCTATTCATCCAAGAATTCTGGAAAATATATCATGTTTCCACAAAAGTACTAGTCTGTTTTTTTCAGCTTTTTATAGTTTATAATAAGAATTTTTCTTGAGCAAATCAGCATATTAGAATAATTTCTGAAGAATAATGTGACATTAAATACTGGAGTAATGACTGCTGAAAATTCAGCTTTGCCATCACAAAAATAAATTACATTCTAAATTATATTAAAATAGAATACCGTTATTTTTAAATTGTAGTAATATTTTCCAATATTATAGTATTTTTGATTCAAATGCAGCCTTGGTGAGCTTAAAGGGTTAGTTCACCCAAAAATGAAAATTCTATGGGAGGGCCAGAGCGCCCTCAGATTTCATCAAAAATATCTTAAATTGTGTTCTGAAGATGAACGAAGGTCTTACAGGTTTGGAACAACACGAGGGTGAGTAATTAATGACAGAATTTTCATTTTTGGGTGAACTAACCCTTTAAGCGACTTTAAACATTAAAAAGTCTTGCTGACCCCAAGTTTATGTTCTCATCTTTGTCTTGCCTCTCTATCTTTGTCTCTCTGTAGCAATGGCAGCAATCTTAGGTGCGGTGCCGTTTTTGGGGACGTACTGGGCGGCACTGCCAGCGGTGTTGGATTTGTGGCTGGCACAGGCAGAGGGAGTCAAAGCTCTGCTGCTGCTCTTCTGCCATCTGCTGCCAACATACTTCGTTGACACGGCCATATACTCTGATATATCAGGGTGTGTTTGACTTTTTTTACTTGATTTTTTTTATGTCCAAATGTCAGCCAAACGAACAGTTTACCATTACTTCATTATTCACTAACCCAGAATATTCTCTTTGATTGTGTTTTTTTATATGTGTGTTGGGAGTTTGGTTTTATCTGTCAGTGTCTATCAACAACATTTGTTCTCATTTTGTTTGTATATATTTGTATACCACACCCTTCTATAATTTGCAGAGGTGGACACCCGTATCTGACCGGCCTCGCGGTAGCAGGTGGTGCGTACTATTTAGGTTTGGAGGGTGCCATCTTTGGGCCCATCCTGCTGTGCATACTGGTGGTGGCGTCCAACATCTACAGCGCAATGCTAATGAGCCCTAGCAGCAGTCAGCCAACGCCAGTGCAGAGCCACTTCCCTGTACATCCTGGCAGGTGACAACAGTCTATTATTGTTCATCGTTTTATTTGCTTTCAGCCTATATTAACTACTTAATCATTGTAATTATTACCTTTCAAACTCTTTTTCTCTTCAAATCCCAGGTCATTCACAGAAACCCCAATGCAGCTGAGGAAAAGCGATGAATGAAAGGCGTTTGAGCAGCAGCCTGTTACACTTGTTAACAGCACCCCCTTCTCTGGTGTATCCCATACACTTTAAAAGAGGGCAGTCTTTTAATATCTTCACCCTAAGAGATCTGTGGCTCTCATACTTAGAATATTGATGCCCCTTGATGTCGACCTCTGTGCTAACAGTTCATTTAGCACTTAGCACTGTGATGCTAAATTTGGGTAATGCTGGGATACCGGGCTCAAAAAAGCTATGCCGCTTGCACACTCCAGTGCAAAGTTTAGTTAGCACGCCTGTGCGTTGTCTAGCACTGTACTGGTGAATTATGCCAGTGCCACGATGCTGGCGTCAGTTAGCACACTAACAATACTACGTTTACATTGAGCTTTACTGTAACAATCCACCAGGGTCCCACTCAGTGGAGCATGCTTTCAGCCTATAGATCACTGATCATTTTTTGTTTATCTGGTAGTACTGATTATTTATCCCATATTGTGGATGTGTTTGGCATTGTTGTCATGTAAATGGTTAAGTTTGTGTGAATGAAAGGACTTTACTCTCAGATTTTACTATTTAAACACCTGTTTAAAGTGTTATATCTTTCTGTTTTCATACATATACAGTCTTTGTTCCTGGAGATCTACTGTACCTTCCCGCAGAGTTTTTTCTCCAGGAGTAGGACTGAGCAGCGCTGACCTATACAAATAGCCTTATTCAGGCTGAGGATTTTTTTTGTTTATGAACAAATTCTATCTCGACAATAACAATGTGAAACTAACTTAAACTAGTCTGAGTTTTGCATCTCTGCAGTTCTGTATTTGTCATTTTTGTGTTTTTTACCAGCTTACGTTCATATTACCTCAAGCATCTTAATGAAGTTTTTTGTTTCTGTTGGCTATAGACTGAATTTGCGTAAAGTACATTGCGATATGTACTACTGTTACATATGCATTTCTATATCAGTTTGGATTTTATTTCACATCTCTTGCAAAGCTTCCTGCTTAGGAAGGATGCTAAAATCCCTGTTTTGTATTAATGTATGTGGTTATTCCTCTTTGTAAATACAGTACTGTTGTTCAGTGCTCAGACATTATAAATAATCATCTTTTAACCAGTTAGACGAGATACAGTTTAGAGCTAAATGACCAAATGCTTCGGGCAGAAATGATATCAGCTTGTTTATAGGAGAACCTGTAGGTCAAGCTTGAATTGCACTGAATAGACAATGTACTCTGCTGTTTCCTCTTTATTTTAATAAATATTCTGTTAAAGACATCACTGAAGAGTGAAAGTGTATGCACTTTTTCGGTTCAAGCCAAATAAGAGAAATATGATTTATAGTTAATTGTGGTGATAGCTATATGTGAAAGAAAAAAAAGCATGGTTTTATTTTTTTTAATGTGAAATACAAAAAAAGACCAGAGTGTTTGTTTTGTTCATACGCAGCACTATTAAATTGTTTTAATAAAACTGATTGAATTTTTAATTGGGTACATCTGTATACGCTGTCTTTCTGGTTGTGTAAAACTGAATTGTGTTTTATCGGGCTCATTTAGGGAATTGGATGTTGCAACCCACTGCATATATTTTTGCTATTATAGACTGCAATTCCTGAGCTGATCTTAAACCATTTTCACAGTCATGTTGAAATGATTGACGTTCAAAGTGCACATTATACGTCCATCAATAAGTAACTTTTCTTTGAGTTTTAGGTATCTGGACTGACTGCTATAAAATGGTGGTCTAAAATTGCTGTCATGTATGGCGCTGTGGGTCTGCAGCTGGACATATCTCAATACAAGCAGAGTGATATAAATAGTAAAAGTCCCAGAGCTGTTAAAGGGATCATGAACGGCCTTTTTAATTATTATTTTGTACTGTTCTCTGAGGTCCACTTATAATGTTATCAAGATTTTTACATCAAAAACATAATTTAGGAGTAATAAGCTATTTTCTGTCCTGTTTTTGACCCCCCCATGATTACTGCTATGATTGGCTAACCTTTCACAGATGGATGGTGCTGTGATTTAGGTTAAAAACGCATAAATACTAAGTACATATCAAATGATCTGTAATAACAGACAAAGCAATAGTGATCACAATAAAAACAATTACTCACACTTGTGTTGCGACATTACTGTCGAATCCAATATAGTCGGCACAGCATCATATTTCAGTTTGTAAACGAATTCGCGGTAAAGTGAAGTGAACAAAGGCCCGAGTCCTTACTGATGTGGTCTTTAACTTCATGAAATCTAAAGTTTATTAAATAAAATGTGTCATTTTGGTTTCTGTGTAGACCTGCGTTCGTCGCTGTTGTCATTACCTACTACAGGCGCGAATCGGTGGGCGGGGCTAAACAGGCAGTGATGTAGGAGCAGGCGTTGATCTTCTGCGGAGGTGGTGCTTATCCACGCTATCACATCATAGAGTAGAGCATTCCAGCGGTTTTTAGACTAACAAGAAAGTTTATAGTTCTGAAACTTGCAAAAAAAAATTAGCACAATGACCTCTTGGAATTTTGATTTCTCAGTTCATGACCCCTTTAAATAGTCAAATTTGAGGACCGGAATTAACTATTAGTTTTTTTTTTTTTAAACCGTTATTAGTTAACAATGACCATGAGCTCGAGATTTATTTGCATACAATGTTACCTTTGGCCTCAGATGCCCTCTGATGAGTTCACACTTTCTCTGCCATTCTTCACACTGTCATATCAGAGCTATAAATTGCACCACCTCAGAAAGGATTTAGGTGGGATTGAAATCGATTGCCATTCACTTTTGCTTACACTGAACCGGGCTATTGACTATCTCTATCTCAGGTGCCGTGTGAGTGAATGTGAGAAGGCCGATTGCGTGGCCTGTCATCTGAAAAATGAGCAGTAGACGTGCAGCTTTGGTTTGTGAGGCTTTCGTTTTTGTTTGTAAGGTTCCAGTGTTCCATTTTCCCCCCTATTTTTATCACATCAAAAGAAAAAACTAATTTAAATGAGATAACTGTTTAAAAATGAAATAGCCTAATGCTTTTCTAAATTCCTAACATAGATCTGCAGTCAAGTTCCTACGTACTCAAAGTTGACGCTTCAAAGCATTTTTTTAATTGAATAACAGCAATTATATAAATAACATACTGCTCACTCATTATGAAACCTGATATATTAGCATGTGATCGCGCTTGCATGACCAATATAAGAAAATGCTCAATGCATCGTAAATTATTGTATGCTGAAATTACTGTACATTTTAAAGGCATAGCATGAGCGCCACATGAACTTTCATTCCAAACCTTACACCACTCATTAGTCTCCGTCAGCCAATTAGTCTTTTATATTCTGCCTCGAAACACAAGTGAAGCACTGCTGAGAACAATCGGCAGTTTTAAAAGATTAAATGATTCTGGGAAACCAGACGTTCACGCTCAGAAATGGGGTATACGGTTTATCAAAAGCAAGGTTTCCTCTGGTAATTTATTATAATCAGCATTTATCACTCATTTGCTAAACTAAATGTGTGAATTTATTTTCAACAACTTGCAATGCTTTGGTGAAATATACTTGGAAATATATCCTGGTTAAAAAAAAAAACTAAAAAATATGTTCACAGTAATCTCAAGTAAAAATACAATGAAAGATGAAAATACAATAAGACTTTCTCCAATTTTATTTCTCTAAGGCAAACACTGGCTAATTAGATCATTAGAGTAACTGCAAGTGTTCTTGTCAGTACTTCAGTCTTGTGAGTGCAGGGGTCTGAGATCTTAGTGTTGAGTATCTACTGTGCCACCAAGTGATAAACCAAAGCAAGGCAAAACTCTAACTATGAAACTTGAACCTTGCACTTGCACAAGAATGATAAAAGTTATGATAATTTTGATAATGTTTAAGCCTGAGAGTACAAAATCCAGCACAATACCTTAACAACCCTGCATTGCATGGTGCCCCATTGTGCAACAAAAACCTATTAACCACTGCCGAGGAACTTAAACCAACTGCACAGTTCTCAATAAAACTTTTGTAACCATGAAACTGCATGTGTGCACATGAACAAAGATCATACAGGCTAATAGAGAAGTTGGACTGTAAACTTTCTGTGGTTTATTTCTCCAGCCTGTGGATCATCTCAACACAGGGCTCTCTAACCCACCAATCAGCAGGCCAGACCCTCATCAATTCAACAAAAAAGACAAAAACAAAAGACATCCCTTTGACAAATATAAACACAGACGCTTGTTCACACTCGCACATCTCTACAGATGATCTTGAGGCCCTGTCCAAATACTCGCAAGATCCTCACCCATCCTCTGAGTCTGCAAGGAAACTGCCCTTTTATTTACAATTTAGAATCTGTATTTACAGTCTTACAATTCAGAATCTCACAATTTACAATCATTACTTAGAATCTTTTAGTTTTTTTCAGAATGTAGACTATATTTAGAATCTTTTTTAGAATCTAGAATCTATATTTAGAGATTTAAAATTTTGAATCTATAGAGTCTTGAATCTTTTTAAGAATCTCCAATGTGCATTTACAATCTTACAATTTAGAAACTCACATTTGACCTTTTCTTATCTTTATTTTGAAACTTTTGTTTTAGAATCTAGAATCTTACAATTTAGAATGCATTTTTTGGTACACAGTGACACTTTTAGGACAAAAAGGGTACAGATCATTTAAAGTATTTAGACAGGGTCAAGCGTTTTCAAGGGGAAAAAAAAAAAATCCTGATTCCACGTGACAAATCTCAAAACAGAGGGGTTCAATTTCCTTTTCCAACCATCTTCAACCATCACAGCTCAAATGAAATCTCAGACCATTTGAAAATAAAATCAGAAGAATGAAATCTCATGAATCTGAAATGCAGGACAATCTCTTTAGGCTATCAGACATCAGTTGAAATGTGGCAAGCAGCCTTCTTTCACCTTCAGATGCCAAATGAGGTGATGAATTAAAGAAATTTTACACAAAAGCCAGTAACAATTTAAAGTGAACGTAAACAAAGAAAGATATCAGACGAAAGAGTTCTTTCTCGTGCATGTACACAGTGAGACCAAGCCCTTGTACAGTTGGATGATATGACAGAAGATGATCCATCTCTTCCCAATCAACCCACGTGCTTATGGGTAAACCATGTCAGCTGAAGGGCTGGAACCCAAAGGAAGGCAAAAATTCGGGGCGAGTTCAGGACTGTCCTGAAATTGCGTGTTAAATTACAATAATATCTTTAATAGACAGACTTGACATAAAAAACAACACCAAACAAGTGAAAAGTGCTTGTACGTGGCACTCAAAAATGCAGAAACCAAAAAAAAAGTATCAACCTCTGGTGTAAAAAAAGTTACATGAACACTGATGATATGAAAAACATCCTGGTCAGACAGTCATCCTTTTTTCCTTGATTATAGCTCTATACGGTGATTGATTGCAGGTAGTCCACTGGCTGAGATAAAGATTGATAGACAGGTCAGTGTGTGTCGGTGGCCAGTAGGGGGAGCCCCTGCATCAAACGGATAGCAGACCACTGTAACGTCCACTGACAGTAGATCCATCCTAATGTGACACACTTGAAATCTCACATGCACTCAGACACACTTCAGCCTCTCCTTCATGTGCTAGATACCCTTCATTTCTACAAGGCTTGAAAAAATATTTAACTTAAAAAAGGGCGAAACTCCTGTGGAAAACACTGACTCGCGCATTCCCGTCACGCACACACACCTAAACACACACACTGATACTCTAAAAGGGAGGCGTTCTCGTAAACATAACCAAAATGCCCGCTGCCCCTCGAACGAGGAGGATAACGGCATCAAACTCAAGTTTCTTTCTCCACGAGTCTTTCTCTCCATCGTTCGTTCTTTTCCTCTGCAAAGGTGGAGTGATGGGGAGATTCATATACATACTGTATGCGGTTCTGCTCTTTGAGATCATTTGAAGGCAGACCACCAGGATTGAGAGGAAAGCAGTCCTTTCTCTCACGTTCTCTCCATCAGCGACGGTGTGAGAGTCTGTCCATCTGTCCATCCGTGTGCGAGCTCAGAATATCTCGGGCAGTGTTACGTTGCGGAGCAGCCACTGCTGCGAGCGGCTCCCGGTGCAGTCCTTGACGCTGGGCACCTGACTGTCATCTTCAGACGCCTTATCCAAACACTGATTACTGTTCACGTGTACCAGGCTCAGCTTCTGCAGGAAGAGAGAGACAGACATGCATTGTGGGTGAGACAGAGCAAAAACACCGGTTATGTTTAGAACAGAATTGTTGCTATATATATTGCTATATAATACACATTGATCTCACTATGCTGTATGTTAAGTTCCACAAATGGCATCCAATTATCATCACCCAGCAGTCACAAAATGCCACATTTGTTGAATTACGTACTCTACTGTATAATTACTGTAGTGTATATTCCTAAAAA